CAAACCAAAAAATCACTTTCAACTTCTAATTTATGTTTCTTAAAAAGGAAAGCAACAAGGGTTCATAACTGATAATTCAGCATAAAATAAATGTAGAGCACTGTTGTAACCCTTGGATACTCTAGAATTTCATAAGGAACATTGGCTTGTCTGGTAGTCACAAGAATGGCAGCATATGCCTGTCAAACCATCCCGTTCTGCCAGTTTATTTGTGAGGGATTCTTGTAGAACTTTCTTTCTTTTCAACCTATAGTTCTGTTCTGTATCTATGTCCTATCACTAATAGAAGGCAATAATGATCAATTATATTTTCCTACAAATTGCATATGAGGTAATATTGACTTGAGCCAATGAGCGCAATGATACGTAATATACATTATGACACCATGTTTATACCTGTTACTTGTCTCTTTCTAAATCTAACATATTTTGACTTTTTCTATTTTCTTTGCTCTGTATGTCAGAGTTGCTGCAGCTCATTTGTTTGAAGCTTAGGAAAGAACTTACTTTGGGTAGAACTTCCCAGTGAAACAGATGTCTCATGAGATGTGCATAGTCACTTTGTCTGGTTCCTCAGAGGTCAGAAGTCAGCAATCCCTACTGTCTGTTCCCCATGGGAGATCCTGTCTGCTCCAGGGATCATGGAAAGAAAGGGCCTCTCAAAAACACTCCAGTAGTCTCCTAAGGGATTCTGGCTGGAAACTTGGAATTGTTTTTGGCAACTTCAAATGGGAAGAAAGTTTTGAGAAATATTCTCAGTTCCCAAGCCTGTCAGTGCCGGTGCTGCTACCCGTGAAGTGATAATTGCAGTTCATAGCGGAGGTGAGGTCACCAAATCACAACCCATACCTCAGGGTCTGGATGCCCCTGTTACATGTACTGACAGCGCTGACTTCATAATGAGCCAGTGTCCAGGCAGCAGGAAGAAGTCAGTGGGTTTTCTCTTTATTGGTCTGAGAGGTAGAGACTGTAAGGGAAGGTGTTGTGTCAGGTGTCCAGGTAAGTGAACATACTGGACAAAGGGAATTTGTTGACAAAGCTGAATTCCCGGCTGGGAATTCAGTGCAGGTCAGTGTCAGATGTTCTGTGCAACTGGCCTTGGGCTACCTGTGTGGAGCTACCATGCTAATCACTGTGTCTGTGTCTACTGGGCCTGAGGGTGTGTGGGGGAGGAGGCAGGCTGTGTACCAGGATTGTTTTTTTGGCACCCTGAGCTGGAGGCAAGTCAGTAAAAATCCATGTCCACCTGTCAGCTACTTTGTCAGCCCGTCCTGTGCTAATATTGCCTAGACTTCCTCAAGAGCCTTATGAAGAAAGACTGTAGAGTGGGCCCAAGCTGGCTGCATCCCACTGACCCAGGGCTCAAGCTTGGTAGGGCAGGGTGACCAGTTTGGGAGGATATGGCTAGTGGGTCCCCTACTTTGGGGCAGCCTGGTCAGGCACTCAGTGGAAGAATCTGGCTCTTATTCCAGAGGCTCATCATCAGTCTCTGCTAGAATCTCTAACTCTGGCTTCCTCAGGATGAGTGTACCACAGTTTCAGGTTAGGCTTAGTCAGCTGTCCCCACTGCAGGAGGAAGCTTGGCAGAATGGGGTTACCAGAACTTGGGAAAATAGGTCAAGGAAGCCTTCCATTGCAGGTAGTACTGGCTAGGCTGCACGTGAGGGGCAAACCTCACTTCTCCCATTAGCTCTGTAGTCATGGCTGCTTAAGTCCTGGACTGGAGCCTCTGTTTGAGATAAACTCTGAATATCCCAGCTCTGAGTGGAGTTTCTATTCCCCTATGAACCTGAGCCCAGAAGGGGAGCTCATAAAAACACATCAAGTAGCCCTACAGTAGGAGTAGCTCAGGCCAGCAGAAGGGAAGCAAGCTGCTTGCTTGCCCCTACCTCGCAGCTGCACAATGCCAGAGACCCTGACAAGGGAGTCTTCCCTTGGGGGTGGTGCCTGCCTTACCTACAGTCAGGGTAAAAGATTGGCCCCTGTTGTAAAACCACTCAGTTCACTGAGCATTGAGAATTTGCCTATAGTTTCTCCAGAAAAAGAGCACACCTCAAGTCTCTGTTGGGTATAGCCGACAGTCCTTCCTGCTGGACTTGAGTTTGGCAGGGTGGTGCCATCAGTACTTGGAGTACAGGTTTAGTGTACTTCCCCCCAGCTGGTGCTGTAAGAATAGGAGTAGTCTGCTCTGGAAAGTGGTGCCTGAGGGCAGTGTGGGATGTTGCCTCATGAACGGGACCTTAACCTTAGTAGCCAACCCTTAGTCTCTATCCAGAGCTTGCCACCAATATATTCTCTTTATGGTCTCTGTGTGCCCTGAGTCTCCTTCCTCCTACAAGAGCCCTTGTGGGCTCCTGTGCATTGGCCTTTTAGGAGAGTGCCTGGGATTCTAGCAGACTCCCCCCTCTTTCCACTGGACAGGGTCCCCACTCAATTTTGCTGGCAGCGCTATGCAGGTTCCTTGTCCCAGCCCTGGTGCTCTGGTTTGGGGTACTGATGAGGGGTTGAGACCCCACTCTCTTCAGGAGGGACTTTTGCAGCTGAGATCTCCCTTCAGCTTCTCAGCCAACACATCTGCCTGCAGGGACAAGTCCTCCACATGTCTTTGCCCTTCCTACCAGGCTCTGTGTAGCTCCTTCATTAGATCCTTGGGCATAATACTTCTGTTCAGTTGTTCTTCACTTGGTCATTCAGGTCAGTTGGTCTTTATTTTAACTATAAGTCTGGTTTGGCACCAGAAAAAGGTGTGTGTAGCTTTCACTTACTCTGCAGCCATCTTGGATCCATTCTCTCCTACAGATTCCATATGAGGAGACATTGACTTGAGCCAGTGAGTGCAATGATATGTAATGTTCATTATGACAATGTAGTATTCCCGTTACTTGTCCCCATTCTAAATCCTTCTAACATATTTTGAAACATTCTATTTTCTTTGTTCCATATGTCAATGGTGCTGCAGCTTGTTTGTAAGGAGACTCGGAAAAAACTCTTTGGTTAAAACTTCCCGATGAAGCAAATGTCCAGTGAAACACCAGATTCACCCTGCCCCTCAGGGATCAGATGTCAGTGCTCCCTGCTATCTGTACCTCATGGAAAATCCTGTCTGCTCCAGGGATCATGGAGAGAAAGAGCCTCTCACAAACACTCAGTAGTCTCCTAAGAGATGCTAGTGAAAACTTGGAGTTGTTCTTGGTAATTGGCAACTGGAAAGAAACTTTTCATAAATACTCTCAGATCCCAAGCCTATTAGTGCCAACGCTGCTACTGGTGAAGTGATAATTGCAGTTCAGAGGGGAGGTGAGGTCACTGAATCACAACCCATATCTCAGGGTCTGGCTGCCTCCCTGTTACACATACTGACAGCACTGACTTCACTGACTTCACAATGAGCCAGTGTCCAGCAGCAGGAAGAAGTCAGAGGGTTTTCTCTTTATCACCCTGAGAGATAGAGACTGTAAGGGAAGGTATATCAGGAGTGTGGGTAAGTGAACGTACTGCACAAAGGAATCTTGTGTGGGTGAACCTGGGCCAGCACCAAAGCCCAGGGGTCAGGGGCAGAGGGAGCAATTCATGAGGCTTAAACTGAGCAGGTAAAGACAGATGGGTCATAGAGCTGCTCTAATCCCTGGTGGCTTCTGATGTGATGTAGTGTGGTCCTCACTCTCAGTCATGGTTGTTCAATCCAGTGATCATGAACCTGATTTTTAATGTGCTTAAGGGCTGGAGTTTTAGAGTTGATCTCTCTTCAGTCGACTTTACAGGAAACATAGATGTAATTTTTAGGTTTCTAGAGGTGTACCCATAGTACTTGCATGCTTTTACACCTATAGAAAAGTGTGTCTGACAGTAGTTGCCAAAATAGAAATGTGTTCTCTTACTCTGGGTATATTATTTGCTAAACATATTTAATAACTGTGTATATTTTTAGTGTGGTGATACATTGCCTATCTAAAGAGGCAGCATTTAAAAAATAGAACTTTAAAATTTTCAGGCTGAAATATATAATTTGATATTTCTGCTGCTCTTAAATATTGTAATAGCAATGTGCAATACATTGTAAATTACATACATATATGTATGTCATATGTGCCATTTACATGAGTCATTTACACAATATGTCATTTACACCATACAGAAGTATTTTGCCTTAACATTACATTTTTGTATGTTCCTTATATGTTCATGTTTTATACAAATCTTGCCTTATTTCTAAGAATCTTATTTTACTCAGTTATTAATAGATATGTATATAATCTGAAATGAATAATAATTTTATTTCTACATACACTGTTTATTAGATATACGTTCCTTGTTCTATAGTTCTTGTAACTTGTGTAATTGAATTTATTTTTCCTGGAATGAAGCAAATGAGTCTTTCTGTTGCTCTCCTAATATTGCACCATTCTTGTGTTCATCACACCCAACTTGTCAGGGACAGGTACCTGCACTTTATTCTGCAGTCAGTGCATCTGCATTCTATGAAGATCTCTAAAGCTTTATTCAAAGTTTATAGTTGCCTATAGATTAAGTCTTCATAATGAAAAGAAGTGGACACTGACATTGCCAAAAATTTAAAGTAAAATACCACCAGTGGGATTCAAAATGACAGAGTTTAAAAACACTTGGTTTCTCTGAAGAACACAGGTAACAAGTATGTTAGTATATTATGGGTTAAATTCATTGTTTTGTTAGCGGCACAGCCAGCATCAAATCCTCACTATGCCCCTAACCAGTGTGTGATCTCAGACAAAACCTTTAACCTCTCTGCGCAAATTGGGTCCTCACCTTTATAAAAAATGTGTTAGTGTCTGCCTCTTGAACTTGTGAGGGATAACAAAGTTATTTTGTGTGTGGCCTTTGTAGCAGTGAGTATGCTGTTGTAAGTGTTCTTAAATGGCTACACATTCACTTGGAAGCCTCTAAATGGCATAAAAACGTTAACTCAGTATTTCAGGTAGGAATTGTTGATAAGTGGAGACAATTAAGTGGGTGCAACAGACATGATATGTGTGCCTTATGCCTCCTATTCCCATGCAGGGTCCTCTTGCTCAGAAGACAAAAACCAGTCACTGAAAACAGACAGCGGGTCCATCATGGATTTGGCAGTAGGAATGATCTCTTTACTACAGACAGTAATCGGACTCCTGGGGAATTTCACTCTGCTTTATCATTATGTCTTCCTTTATTTCACTGGGTGCAGGCTGAGGCCAACAGATTTGATTGTCAACAGCCTGATTGTGGCCAATTCCTTGGTTCTGTTCTCTAGTGGAATCACCTTTACCAGGTCATTTTCTCGGTCATACGACCATCTCAGAGATTTTGGATGCAAATTTATTTCCTATATGCGTTCAGTGGGCAGGGGTGTGTCCATTGGCACCACCTGCCTCTTGAGCATCTTCCAGGCCATCATCATCAGCCCCACGAACTCCAGGTTGGCAGGGCTTAAACAAAAAGCTCCCAAGTACATTGTTGCTTCTGTTTTCCTGTACTGGATCCTGCAAATCTTGGTAAATGTCATTTTTCTTAAGCATATGTCTAGTACTTGGAGAAGTGAAAATATCAAAACCAGAAAAAAGTTGGGATTCTGTTCCTATATTTATCTTAATGAGACCAGGGACACATATGCAGTGTTGATAACATTCCCTGATGTTGTATGTTTCGTGCTCACACTCTGGGCCAGCAGCTTCATGGTCTTCATCCTGCACAGACACAAACAGAGGGTCCGACACATTCACAGGACCTCCGTCTCCTCCCAGTCCTCCCCTGAGTCCAGAGCTACCAAAACCATTCTTCTCCTGGTGAGCACCTTTATCTTTTTGAACACCTTTTCTTTCACCTTTCATATTATTTTCACTGTTTTAAGCAATCCCAGCATGTTTCTCCCTGACATCTATATATTAATCACTCTGAGTTTCCCCACCGTCAGTCCCTTTCTGATCTTGAGCCGTGACTCCAGTGTCTCCAGGCTCAGCTTTGCCTGGATAAAAAATGCAAAATTCTCTAATTGTATGAGAAATTTGTAAATTTTATTCATTTCAAAACTATGAAGCTTAAATTGTAAGTCAATTAGATTGCATGTATGTTAAATCTATCAAATGGAATATTCCAGGAAAGAACTAGGCAAGAAATTTAAACAAAATACACGAAAAAAAATCAGCAGGTGGCAGGTCCCTGCTGAAGCTGAAGCCATTGGTGCCGGAAGGAAATTCAGTCTGTGAGGAAGGTTGTGGAGAGCTAGTTATGCTCTTGTACATGACACCTCTGGAGAGGTGGTGGGCATTTATTAGAAATATGAAGTTATAAATGGATGAGCTTGTAAATAACTTTTATGTAGAACATGACCAGATTACATTTTAGCTGATGTTTTAACCACATCAGGCAAGTGAGATTTATTTATTTATTTATTCATTCATTCATTTATTCATTTATTTTTAGAGAGAGGAAGGGAGGGAGAAAGAGAGGGAGAGAAACATCAATGTGTGGTTGCCTCTTGTGCGCCCCCCTACTGTGGACCTGGTCAAACAACCCAGGTATGTGACCCGACTGGGATGCCAACCAGTGACCCTTTGGTTTGCAGGCTGGCACTCAATCCATTGAGCCACGCCAGCAGGGGTGAGGTGAGTGATAATTTTAAAAGACATGAATTGCATGGAATTGGACCCCCAGGAGGCAGATGTTTTCTTCGTGAAGATGCTCTGGGCATGTTGGCAGAAGGAGGTCTGGCAGTGCAAACTTGTCTCCAAAGTCATTACATTAATTCATGGTGGGGGCTTTTGTTACATATGGAACAGTCAAAGAGAGCCATTTGAAAGGAAAAACAGGTATGTGGTATTTGTGGCTTCTTGATTTCCAAAAAGCAAAGTGGTTATTTTCTCAATTGCCTGACAGGATTTTATATAGGGTTTTTTAAAAAAATTTACATTCTTAAATTGATGCAAAGTGTTGATAATTTACAATTTGAGAAAGAAATGAATTATTTCAACTAATGGGTATATATCTTTTTTAAGTATATTTTATTGATTATGCTATTATAGCTCTCCCAGTATTTCTTCCTTTATCCCCTCTCTACCTTGCACCCCCAACCCTCCAGCATTCTTCCCCCTTAGTTCATGTCCATGGGTTGTACATTTAAGTTCTTTGAATTCTCTGTTTCCTATACCATTTTGGTCTCTCCCCATCTATTTAATGCCTAGTAATTACGCTTCTTCTTCCCTGTACCTTTTCTCCCCTATTCCTCCCATCCGCCCCCCATTGAAAACCCTCCATGTGATGTCCATTTCTCTGATTCTGTTCCTCTGTTGTTTGTTTTGTTTTTGTTTTTCTTTTTTTAGGTTCATTTGTTGATAGTTGTGAATTTGATGTCATTTTTCTGTTCATATTTTTTATCTTTTTTCTTAGATAAGTCCCTTGAACATTTAATTATAATAAGGGCTTGGTGATGATGAAGTCCTTTAACTTGACCTTATCTGGGAAGTACTTTATCTGCCCTTCCATTCTAAATGGAAGCTTTGGTGGATAGAGCCATCTTGGATGTAGGTCTTTGGATTTCATGACTTGGAATACTTCTTTCCAGCCCCTTCTTGCCTGTAAGGTCTCTTTTGAGAAATCAGCTGACAGTCTGATGGGAACTCCTTTTTAGGCAACTGTATATTTATCTCTTGCTGCTTCTAGGATTCTCTCCTTCATTTTAATCTTGGCCAATGTAATCATGATGTGCCTTGGTGTTCCTTCTTGGGTCCAACTTCTTTGTGACTCTCTGAGCTTCCTGGAAGCCTGATTCCTTTGCCAGATTGGAGAATTCTCCTTTATTATTCGTTCAAGTAAGTTTTCAATTTCTTGGTCTTCCTCTTCTCCTTCCGGCACCCCTATGATTCAGATGTTGGAATGTTTAAGGATGTGCTGGAAGTTCCTCAACCTCCCCTCATTTTTTTGAATTCTTGTTTCTTCATCCTGCTCTGGTTGAAGGTTTCTTTCTTCCTTCTGCACCAAACTGTTGATTTGAGTCCTGGTTTCTTTCCCATCACTGTTGGTTCCCTGTATATGGAACAGCTGGTAGGTTGTAAGGGGTGGGGCCTTAGGTATTCACCCAGGCACAGCAACCCTCTTTGCTGCTCTGCAGGGCTGCCTGTGGGGGAGGGGCCAGAGAGGCCAGAGAGAAACAGTGCAGCTCGCCTGCTCATCACTAGCCTACTTTTCTGGTGAGACTGGGAGCTTCTCCTACCACTGCAACCTGCAACTGCTGTAGCCCATAGCAGCCATCTTCACCCCCAAGGTCTGCTGCATTGCTGGGGGTTTTCTGAGTTGGCCTGCTAGTCTACCACCTTACTGGTCTGGTTGTTCTGGTTGATTTTTTCTTTAATTCCTTTGTTGTTAGAGTTCCATGCAGTTTGATTTTCTGGCACTTTTGTTTTTTTATTATTTTCAGATTGGTTATAATCCTCCTTTTGGTTGTATAAGGAAGTGAAGGGTCTCTACCTGTGCCTCCATCTTGGCCAGAACTCTCCTGTTAGATTTTTAATATAAATCTACATTACTATTATATATTATAGTTGTACACTATTATTATCAAGTATGATTGACTCATTATTTTTTAGTTTCTACCAAAATATTTTAGCATACATTTAAGTGGTATACATATGCCTGTTTTATATGATGCTCTTCAACTTCACCTTTACACCATAGGGATAATATAACATTTACCTATTCATCCTATTCCATATATCTGATTGGTGATATCTTTTGAATAATTTAAAGTGCACATACAGGTTGTAAGTTCAGAGCTAAATGAAAGTTAACAGAGTGATACATTCCTGTACTCAGTACCTGGATCAGGAAATAAAATGTTATCAGACCATCAGAAGACTCCTGTGCTCTCTTCCTGGCACTCCTGCTGAGGATAAGGATGGCTCCAACATCTCACAGAATAGCTAGCTCCCTGGGGTCTGTTTTGCACTTTATATAAAGGCAATCATAGAGCAATAACTTTTTAGTGTTTCATGGTTTTCATTCCTTACATTATTTACTGTATTTATTGCTGCATGTTGGAATTAATTCTTGCATTGTTATGTAGGGTTCTTTTGTGTGAATATAAAATACTCAATCATTTTCTGTTCGTTGGCATATGGGAAGTTTTCTGATTGAGACTGTTAGGATGAGTTTTAGTATATAAATATAGAATAATTTTAAATGAGACACATACACATTTCTGGTGGCGATGCATGTGACAGTGGAATAGTCAGGTTTCATGTCTTGGAAATAGTGCCAAAGATATTTTGAAAATGTTTGGAGCAGTTGTTACTTCTACCAACAGTATAAAAATTCTGGGTTTACCAACATTATTGTACTACTGTTGTACACTGTCACATTCAGTTGAAAATATTTTCCTTTTATTTCCTTTTATTTATTTTTAGAGGGGAAGGGAGGGAGAAAGGGAGGGAAAGAAACATTGATTGGATGATTCTCGTATGTGCTCTGAGTGGCAACCAAACCTTCAAACCAAGCTCCGACTCAGAATTGAACCAGCAACTTTCAGGTTTGCTGGATGACATTCAATGAACTGAGCCACACTGGTCAGGGCTTAAAGTATTTTCTAGTTTCCATTGTGTTTTCTTCTTTGACCCATGTGTTATTGAATGTATTTTATAATTTTTAAATATATGAGGATTTTGCAGTTTTGTTTTGTTACTGACTGTTACCTTAATTGCATGACAGCTGGAAAACATACTCTGTATTATTTCAGTTTTTTGAAATGACTGGAGACTTAGCTTTTGGCCAAATATATGTACAATTTTCTTTTAAGATTGACATGTTCTTGAAAAGTTAAGAGAGAGAGAGAGAGAATGAATGAGACTATTCTTGATGAGTTCCAGTTCTGTTCATTACCCTTAAGTCATGTTTACTGTTCATTGGAACATATTCATCAGTCTTCTTAGTTTTTGTCATCTTATTCAGGCAGTAAATAAGGAAGCTATATTAATGTTTCTTTTTATAAATGTGACTTTTAAATTTCTTTTCGTAGTTCTATTTATTTTTGCTTTATATATTTCAAACTCATGTAAGTAATTGTTAGATTATCCTGGTGAGAATCTTTATTCATTATGAAATGCTTCTCTATCCTATTAGTTGTTTTTTTTTCTTGATTTCCTCTTTCGATTGTTTTCATTAGTATAGCTTTTACAACCCTTCAATTCTTGTGTATTTTTATGTATTAGATGTAGAAATATTGAAAGGGCAAGGATGGATTGATCTTTACACTATTGCTGGCACTTGGAGAGAGAGAGCTCTCAGAGCTCAGATGTCTAGAGGAGGAGGCTGCCTTCTCTCTAGGAACACCTTCCAAAATGTCCACCCCACAGGTGTCCCCATATTGTTCCCCCAAAAGAATTGAATGACCAGAATCGGGTCCCTGGAGGATCATCATGTGATCTGTTGCTATTGTTGACTCATAGGTACTACTGAGTCTGTGCAATGGAGAAGCTGGGGTGTTGTCTCCCGGCAACCCCCCAGTATATCAGAAAGTAGGAGGGGAGCTTGTGGGTGTTGGAGCAGGTCGTGAAGAGACGGAGAAGGAGAGGAGACCTGTGTGGACTCAGTGTTAGAGGTCAGTAATGAGAGCCTATGGGCATTAGGGTGTGGGTCTTGGGGGCTGGTGAAGGGTATAATGGGGTGCATTGGGTTTATCAGCAGTTTGCATAGGCCATGCACAGAGTCCATTGGGATTGGTTATCATGGAATGCTCATGTGAAGGTGTTAATGGGTGAATCTTCAGGTCAGCAGTGGAGGGAAGCTGGGGGTCAAAGGCCTGGGGATCAGTGGTGAGGGCTCGCACGATCACTGAGTGGGAAGGCTGTGTAGTCACTGGTAGGGCTGTGGGATTAGTGACTGGGAGCCTTGAGGTCAGGTAGGGATGGGAGAGTCTGTGGGGCATTCATAACGTAGAAGTTGTGGGAATCAAGGGTGAGGTATTAGGGTACAGGGGCGGAGTCATTGGGGGTTATAGAGGAGTCGAGAGGCCACTGCTGGG